AATACTTTCCGCGCCACCTTCCAGAACGTTCTCATTTCGTCGGCGCGATGCGCAGCGAAGGCTGGGGAGAGGCACGAGACGGTTCGACTGCCCTCTCCGGAGAATGATTCACTCGGTCTGACCCCGCCTCCTTCGTTCTAGAAAAATCGCGGCCTTGCTGGGCCGCCGATGTGGGGTGAGGAGGTTCGTCTGTGAAGCCATGTTTCTGCGGGGAGAGCGCGCGCCCGGGAGCCTTGGATGTTTGCTTTCTTTTTTTTTCTTTTTTACCTCGCGGCGTTTCTTCCGCCCGTTGTCGCAAGGATTTGGCGGCGCGCTCTTTTTTTTTAGCGCTCGTTCTGTGACAGCCACTCGTATTAACTTGTCTTCGTCATTTGTCTTGTTTTTTTCATGGTCTTTTTTCATGCCATAACGGAAGCGCACATGCTATATTTTAGCCGTGAGTAATTGATGAAGTAAATAGTGATTTTCTTGCACTTACTCACCAGAAATATTTCATTGCACTACCAAAATTACCAGTCCACAGAAGTAATTCATTACATATTTACTACATTAAATATTTAAACCCTAGTTTCATTATTGACAATTCAGCTATATTCCATGAACGACGGGCTCAGAATTACCCGAAAGAGGATGAGTTAAGAAGCGTCATGCCGCTGTTACACGGGAACTTTTGATCGCGATCAGGTCCGGTCCGGAGTAGGCTTGATCTGTGTCAAACGCCTCTACAGATACTTTCGATTGTGATCATGCCTGAGACAGAGTAACATTATCGCAATTCGCGCATCGCGATCCGACTCCCAGATCGTGGTTTAGCTGTGTGTGCGCCTAACTCATTTCAGATTATAGTTGGCACCGTGTAGCAGCCACAATTATTGATGGCGATAGAGAAATTAGATCGGAATGGGCCCTAATCGTGATCGTAATTTTCCGCGTCACACCCTTGTAAGGTAATTTCGGCTTCTAATAACTAGAAAAGGCCGCCCGCCTCGGTGGATCAGTGGCTACATCGAAAATGCAGCCGCAGCAGCCGGTATTCGATCCCGCTACCTGCGAATCAGCAGCCGAGTACCTTAGCCACTAGACCACCGTGGCGGGGTGAATTGGGTTATCTAGTTAAGACATCGTTACTGCAGTGACACTTCAAGGAAGAGGCAAGGACATTCACGAGACGGTGTATAATGAAGCGCATCCGGGTAGTGGCTCAATAAAATTGTTCCCGCGTATTCAGAAACGCGCCCGACATGACAATGAAGCATAGCGCCGTTTTTCTGCGTAATCATAGTTGGCAGCGAACTGTAACTCAGCAATGAAATTTAATTGTCACTTGCCTTTGCCAGTGGCTGCGAAGTGGAATGAGTAAAAAAAAAAAGAACGCGAACACGTGTGAACAGTAAAAAATGCACGGTGTTTTAACATATAATGGTCGCGCTCAGTATCGGCATTTTCGCTAAATCTCACTTACGACTATCGAGTATAGCAGTACCGGTCAGTATAAGTGACCTACAACCTTACAGAGCTGGGCAGTTGGGTATGTGGAGACAAGCATCATGGCGTGTATATTCTCGGGTTGTGAACCTTAGGCATGCACAGGAGGGGGGGGGGGGGCTGTTTTACTACGGCGCTTTCCCTTACCGCCCTCAAATTATAGTGGAGCGGCTACCGAAGGAAACAAGCTGCACACTGAAGATACAAAATAGAAACTGTGCTTCTCGCCCGGACGGGAGTTTATTCATTGGATGAAAACAGCTTGGTACGTAGCATCAGTAGTCATGGGCCGCCATAATCGACAAGAGTGCTACTATACAGAAACAGGCCGCAAGTGATGACGGGACAGGACCGACTGTGTAAAGGGTGGACGGACTTGGGCGTCCTAAAAGCAGTTCACGACTTAAATCAATGCTGACATGAAATATACATACTTTCGGCTTGTTGTTCTAAATAACAACAGGGGGGTCGAGACCGCCAAAGACAGTGTCTAAGGGCTTGGGAATGTATGTAATATGTTTTTAATATCACTACCTCAAAGAGAGCATTGTCAGTTTTTGTCTCGACGAGGCCACTTTGTAGGGATGTGTTAATACAAGTTTCACATCGCGGGAAGATTGCGACTCACGAAATACTATAGCACAAGCTTTTTCGTTTGATGTCATTCGCAAGTGGTTCACGTAAGGCGATGAGTGAATTGTCGTCCAGTGACTCTGGCGATCATGTGCTTCATTTAAGCAGCTCGTAGAGTTTGCAAACACAGTTAACTCTGCTGACTCTTCATGATAATGTACATTGCGGCGAGGCTGATTTGAAGTTGCCGGGTGACGAAAACATTAAAAGTGAAGTGAAATATTTTATGTGTTGGTTGACTCAGGTGCCTGAAGAGCGTTGACTGTACATGTCACGAAAACGAAAAAAAAATGTCCCTTTTGGGGTGCCGCGAAGTCGTTCTGCACAGCTTTTTCTGTGCTGGCCTCGTCATGCGCGCCTGTGAATGCATGCGGTACCACGGCTGGCGCTTCCGGTCAGTATATCTACCAATGCTATAGGAGTGTTAAGAGTGCTATTATCGATGCATAAGACTTCCATTGCACGTGATACTTCGGATAGAGAGTACTAGAAGGCACTATTTGGGTTCTTTTGAAGTAAGAAAGCAGGTAGAACAGCTGTAGTCTGACAAAATAGCCATGACCCATTTGATTTGTCGAGGGTCTTGAGAATGTCATCTACCTGGAATTTTGCCTGCGCAAGTACAAACAAACGCGCCCTGTTCGCTGATCGAGTCAAGTGTTCCTATCTCGTAGTATAGTTGCCTAATGTGAGCAAAGTTGCGTCCATGTCCATGTAAGTACGATCGCATGGATTCCAGTAGCACTCTTGCTCGGCCCAGCAGCTCGGGTTCTCAGGAACACTGTCGCTTCGGACTCACCTAATGGGGCTTGAAGTTACGCAAGAAGAGCGAAATTTCTCGCACTATTGAGCCATTGAACGTGAAAACTTTACGGAGACTTGTCGGCGGGAGTTGTAACATTGCGCGTGCATCCCTGATGTAGAAAACATCGGGAATTCGGGGAATAGTTCACGGCATGTTTCCTGCCTTCTTATCTCGCGTCCTGATTACAAAGAAGAGTCGGCGCAAGCATGGCTTGCGCCACATTTTGGCGTAACCGAACGAGAATCATTGCGGGGAGCCTCCTGTTGCTCCCAAGAACGATGACAAGCACCACTCTTTTTTTATCTGGCCTTCGTACTTACAGCCGCGTAGATTAGGGAGAATCGCTGCGCTCGAGGTCAGTGTCGACAGTTTTTGTCATGGTTTTGTGCTCGCCTTAAAGGCGCACGTATTGCTGCCGAAGATACCGGAATTCTGAGACCCGAAGTATGCATTAATCTAGTTCACCGAAGGCACGCGCGAAACCAATATTGTGATAATCAGCCACGAAAGACATGCTGTAGGTTTTTAGCCTGAAACGTTACCGCTATGCGGTGCAGATACAGGGGCGTGACGCGATGTCACGCTTACGTTTTGCCCTTTGAATGGTTAACGTTTTCTTCGTTTGATTCTCGTGTGCAAGCTGTTGACAACGGTAAGACACTCGGCTTACAAATGGCGATCAAACGAGACACGTCTAAAGATTCTAAAACGTCTCTGGGAACAGATCCTATATATGCAGGCGTAACGTCGGGGCATCGTCAGTTTTGGTTGGTTAGCTGCATTTATAACGATGTAATAGATAATACATACGCACACCTAACACTGCGCAAGCAATATGGGAACGCTTCTCGACCCAAGACGAATATGCCGACGACATCAATACTTACTTGAATTGTGAGCATGACCTGCAGATCACGGGATCGAATCCCGGTTGCGGCGGCTGCATTTTTGGTGGAAGCGAAAATGCTGTAGGCCCGTGCTCAGATGCGGGTGCACGTAGAAACCCCAGGTCATCGAGATTTCCGGAGCCCTTTACTGCGGCGTCTCTCACGATCATATGGTGGTTTTGGGACGTGAAACCCCACATATAAATCAATCGTTAAGGTGTGAGCATCGTTGCACCATAGTGTGCCGTTTGTTTCGATAAAACGTATGAGCTCTAACGTACACGCTACGTCGAATCCTAAGCTACTCTTTAGTCGTGGAGGCAGTCGACGTGCCTGGAAAGCACAGGGTAAGCGCACAACTGTCCCATTCACACGAACACGTGGATCCATTTTGTAACGCCTGGCTCAAAGCGAAAAAAAAAAAGCTGCACATACAGCTATTGTAAAATAACTTGTTGTTGGGCTAGTTGGTACAACATTTCTAAAAGTTAATTCGAGCGCGAACATACAACACGATCATTCACACACGCACACACTCAGGCACTGTGTGTGTTTGATGTCTGGGTGTGTGAGTGATCGTGTCATGTGTTCGCGCTCGAATTAACTTTTACAAATACAGCTACTCACTGACTGCTTCGCATGAAATAAATTCACGCATTGTGTGGAATCTGCCAGATTTTTGTTTCGTTTTTCACAGCGGGTACAACGCATCCATGGATGTAAAATATATTGATATATTGGAAGCATCGGTGTGTAACATGGTTAACGCTCGCCTTCGGAGCGGAGGGAAGGGGCGCGAGCACCCGAGGAAAAATTTGTTTCATTTCGCGCGTTCATTTCCTTGTAGCGGCAATCGTATCACATTAAGGAGGGACAGACCACTTTCTCGCTGAGTCGGCATAAATATGCTTGGCGCTCTAAGTGTTTCCGCGGTGGTATTACAACTTGAGACCTCTGGTGGCCAAGCCCGGCGGGTGCCGCATCAGGCAGGAATAGACGTGGTTAAGGATGTCCCGTGCGGGAAAGCGAGCTTGTCGAAACGTTTGACGCGTTTTAAGAACGCGGACAGTGGGATCACGCCGCAGTTGTGCTATTCTCATTGACACCGACAATCGGCACCAGTTAGTTTCTAGTGTTACTCGTTGTCTTCGCCAGCGCAAATAGCGACTTCCCGCATTAACCTTTCGCAGGTGATTCAGTCGAAGAAGGAGTGCGGGACAAGAAAATCATCACACTTTTACGGCGGAATAGTAAGTATATATATATGCTGCCCACGCTGGGACGATGCTAAAACCTTTCTACACCTTAGCCTAAATCCGCGCATCCATTATTTTGACAGCGCCTGATTGTGAATGCCTGGTGCGAGCGTTGCTTTTCGAAAGAAATTTGCTTGCTTTACCAGGCGTGAGATATCTTTTTTTTTAATGTATATAAATGTTGCGAAAGCAGTTGCAACGGCCGCAGCGTCACTCTTTCGGCTAGGCTGTTGGCTTCCTCCTGAAATTTCGTTGTGTGCTATCGCCAAGTTACTCGCAGAGCAATACCATTCCTGTGAGCATCAATTCATTGATGCGTTCAAAAAAAATAAATAAATCCGCGGTGCACGCGTAACGCAGAAAAACAAAGAGGAGCATCGCGGTTAGCGCGAAGATTTACTCAGCTGTAACATCGGAAGATTCCGCCACCATTTAGTTTCTGCAAAATAGGCATCTCACTGTAGCTTCACGACACACGACGTGTATTTCGCCACTGTTGCGTTCAGAAATAAATAAAGTATGTGCGTGGCTTCAAGCACTGAAAAAAAAATATATTTCAAAGTCTATGCGAAATTGGACGAAAATTCAGCTTACGATTATTTCGCTGAAAGAGTCAGTCATGTTTACCCTCTGTGTCTGTTTTATGCAATGCTCAGTCGCACAAGCATACTGCGTGGATTGTTAACGGGAAGACATGACGTTTTCGATCAACTATATGGCAGTATAAACTAAGCAAAAAACGTGGAAACCTGGCATATATGTTTTCACCAGGAAGAATCAGAGTTGATGAGCCTGCGTAGTACATATAATAAGTAGAAGGAGATACTTCAGATTAGCAAACTCTATGCTTAGCTAAAGAAAACGCTAGCAGGAGCGTCGCTATAAAGTTGCGTTATCGCAAAGTTCGTGGCATTTTCCCATCTGCTCACCCGACGCAGGGTGAGTAGATGAGACTAGGAGAGGTTTTCATCTGTCACTGAACATGAATTGAGGGCACATAGGGAGAAGCACCGTGAGAAATTCGCTTGAAATTTGCATGTAACTGAAAAAAAAATTGGACAACTGGGCCTGCCGTTCATACATTCATCGTCTACAGCAACAATTTGAACAGCGATCTTTAACGGAGTGGGCGGACTCTAATCATACACACGGTGTGTTGTAGTTAGTGAAGCGCGTTTCAAAGGCGTCTCCATGCAGTCTAAGCACTCCTTGTGTCTGTACTCGTCCCTCCAGCCAAAGGCCATGATTCGGGACCGGCGCAGGCCTCGCCCGGTGAGTGTAAGGGACTCCAACCATTTTATACTGTTTTACACCCCCATGTCTTGCACGGCCGTGTCCGTGACCTCCCGTCACTCGTCTCTTTGGTGTGAGTCTTACGCCCCGACCTGGAGTCGCCTCTACTTGGGCACTTTGCACTCCCTCGTACTGTTTGTTCCCCTCGCACATTATCGTCTACCCAATTTGTTCACAAGGTATAACTGTCCCCTTCCCACCTCCGGAATATACGTACATTCATTTATTGTGTAAGAGGCTGAAGCTGCACAAAATATTCTCGCTAGGGCAAGCGGTATAGACTAGTGAGTCAGGCAGCAATCAATACATTCTGTGGCACAGTTCTTAGTGTGAAGAGAAACACGAGGCAATACCGAGGTGTCTTGTGTAGTTGATGCATGATGCAATCCCTGCACCTTGGAAAACTCGTCGGTTTCCCTCTTAATGCAGCCGTTTGTCAATCTGAGAAGAAGCATGAGCATTCAAGCATGACTTCCTACAATCACCACAAAGCACGTGGAATGCAGGCACCTGTCACTCCGCTGGTTCTGATGTGAATGTTGTGTGCTTAGAGGTTCTGATGGAAGATCTTGAGATAAAAGAAAAGTACCTGATGTATGTCGTTTAGGAATTACAGTGAATATACAACATGATAACGTTTTCGAGCTCTTGAACGTGCGTCTTCTACCTGTTGCCACCTGTGGAGCTAATCGCATAATTTTATCTGCTTCATTGTTCGTACTCACGACAAATGTATTGTGCGTGTGCGCTGCCAGCCCTCTTCGGTGTTCTTTCTATTTTCTGGCCAAGCTTTTAGATGAAAAAAAAAGCAGGCTGCCCGTTGTTCTATAGTTCTCAGCTTCAATGTAACTAGCGAAATGAAACCAATCCGTGGCAAGACTACATGTTTCAGACGTCCGGAGGTAGAGCCTTAATGCACTAGGGGGGTTCACATTTTAGATGATGAAAAACCAATGGGAGGATTTTAAATTACGCCGAAATTAACAGATTTGGAGACGCTGCGAACAACTTGCAAATGATAATTGCAGATAAGCCGAAAAAAAAAACAGGTATACGTGCACCAGTAAGTGTCTTAGCTCGGTTCTAATTTGCATTCCTACTCGCCTCCACCTTGATTTTTTGTTTCCATGGCGCAAACTAATTATTTCAATAGGCGGACGAGGTTAGAACCTGGCTTGCAAACGGCGGTGCTCTACAATGAAAGCAAAAAGGGTTGATCCCTCCGCCTTAGTAATCGGTATAACACGAAAGCGAAGAAAATCGATTGTTTATCGTACATCGATGTGTAACTGCTTGCACGATGTCTATTGTTGTTTGGTAGCTATAGCATCGTTGAACGTAGGTGCGCTGAAATGGACGCTTAGTGGCCCATTTTCTTCCCCACGAATAATGCCTGTCACCATGCTTAACCATGGTGGCAGCTCAAGTGATGAACATCCTGATTATAGCGTATGAGAAATCCCGCGAAAATTATGGACCATCTCTCCGAAGGGAACCCTGATGAGATGCAAAGCCGCAGTGGCGCGCACGGCGTTGACCTGCTCGAAATGGGCATCGATGCAGATGCTGGAAGAATGGTTTGAAGCAAAACTCGGTGTAGTGCCTACTCGAGTCAACGTTTGTTGGAAACACAAAGCCATGGGAGGCGAGTTTTGTTTTGTGTAAGTTTCATTGGAGATTAACGAGCTCAAAAGAGCGTTTCCACTTGACGTGCGGTCGAGCGTTACGGGTGGTGGAGAGGGTGAAGCGAGGGAGAAGTGCGTTGCGGGTGAGCAGAGGAGCCGGCAGCCGCGGGCGCTGCGGCGATTGTGCTGCGGGTGAGGGAGAGAGTGACGTCGGCCAGCACCTCCTCTAAATAGAGAAGGCGCTGCGTCGGCGTGCACCTGTGAGGGAAAAGTGCGAGGGGAGCATGATGTCAATTCGCAGCTGCGACTTGACCTACTTAGCACCACTCCAACACCTGTGGCACGTTCGCACGGACGGACGTACGGTGTTACACACGTCAGTCAAATAGATGATTCGCATCTAAAAGAAGGCATCAAGTACGTAATGGAAATGCACTGATACTCTATACGCACTGATTGAAAGCGTCATCCTACGACTAGAGATACGCCAAGGTGTGCGCTTCTGTAATAAAGTAATTTATGCATGTGCATATGTATATACCACGTGGCGCTCCAAGAAAGGAATAAACCAACACTTCCTTTATTAAATATAGGAGCTGGTGAGGTGCAGCTCGTAGCTCGAGCAGTCGACGCGGGAAGACGTTCTACCTTCCGCTGTTAGGTCTCTCACTGCATCAAAGCACTCGCTGGGTGACTTTCGGCCGTCGACGACATTGTTTTTCTATGTCGCTTATCGCAGCAATTTTATTAGCCAGTTCGAAGCCATAGAAGGCATAGAAACACCGTTAGTGCATGTGGAAGCTCAGCTATTGCTGCCCTGGCGAGGAGTTGTCACACTAACGAGACGTGAAAGCAAAACACGTACGTGCTGCATCGTCACTGAAACGAATCATGGCGCACTGTGAATTGCACTGACCGGATACTTTCCTTCAACGATGCATCGTAAGCATCCGTTGCGCTGAAACTACCGAAGCGCTTCCTGTCGGCACTCGTTAATGTGATGGTGCAGCGCTTCACCGCTTTGAGACGGTGACACCATCCCGCCAACAAAAATTACTGTGCGAGGGGTGTGTGAGAAATATATAGAGAACACGTTTCTGAAACCTCATGCATGTTTGTCGGTAGTGCAATGTGTAAAACGTCCGGCATCTGTCGTCGCGGACTTATAGGTCATAGATTCGATTCCCAACTCATCGAAATCAACAGAACTTTGGTTTCTAGTAGTCATCTTTTTGTGTACATTTTATAGAAGTAAAATGGTGGAAATCATGCGAGTGAAGTATTGGTAGATTTCGTGTTAAAAGTCTCTGGATATGACTTCGTGGTGCATTACCCTTTTGACGTTACATGGGCCACGACGAGCAAGTAATTTTGATAAGTTCTGGGGGAAAACAGCCTGGATTGATGTACTAGTACTCTACTTTAACGGGTAAGGTATTGCAGAGTATCTCCTCTAGCTGAGAGCTTCCCTAGGTAGGCTAATGAATGCCGTAACCTCGCGATGTGTGCGATATGCATCCGCGGGGTATTTTTTATTGCCGAATTTCTTGGCGGATATACTACCTGTGCCTCTTTGCATCTGCGTTTGTTCTCGGTGACCTCTTTCGTGCGTGAAGGGACGAAGGAGGGTTCAGCTAAGGTTTGCGTGAGATTAAGGAGCTGTGCTTTCTACAGCTTCCACTCTCTCTAGATAGATTACTAAACTGGCCATAAACCAGTGAAATGTTATTGCAGAAATTCGTAGGCACATTAGTGCAAACAGCTGTACTCCTCTTTTATGAGTCTGTCCAAAAACCAGCACTCTTAAGTCAAAGAACTTGCGAGCGTTTCGCAGGCCTAGTATAATCAGCCAAGTTTTCGACTGGACGTATTCATACAGGACACCATAGAGTGTTGATCCCGCAACATTGACTATGTCTCTCCCTTGTGTGCCATGAATGCTGCGTAATATACTGTCTGCTGGTACACGGTATAATCAGGTATGTTCTTGCGTCGACACAAACCAATTTTGATAGAACTCTGCGAGCATGTTAACACCGCGGAATGCAACGGCCTGGTACAAATAGCTGGTTCGTA